GCTAGCAATCGGAAGATCTAGTTGAAAATCTCGACGAAAACAGAGTACGTTTTTCATATCTCCTGCTCTAAAATATCAAAATCGCTCTACGACTGGCACACGAACTAAACGATAGTGGGATAAAAGATAATGGGTAGATAATTCGTCACCACCAAGATTTGACAATTGCATACCGGCTTCTGGTGCCGGTATGCAGTTGCCAGTCGACAAGAATGTAAAGTTTTTCTCCCTTTGTACTGCATAACTTCGTTGTGTAATTGAAAGCACTTTCGGCTACCAACTGGAAGGTTAGGGTTTCGAATTCCAGTTAGGCTATTACATAATTCCAGCTAGGCTATTACATAATTTTCAGGTCTTCTGTTCTAAAATCAAAATAAGAATGTCTTACAAAATGAGAAAGCTCACATCTTTGTTTTTTATAATTTTTGCGTAAATTGCCATTGCAATTGCCTAATTTTTAAGTTTTAGGTTCAAACTAATGGCTGCATGCTTTTATTTCTGTAGGTGATACTTGAGTATTCATGGCTTGAATTTTTTATTCTGAATGCTTAAAATATCCTGGTGTAAAAAATATCATCTTCCTCAAGTTTTCTAGCATACAAATTCAAATATAAGTTTTTCCAAATTTGATTTTGTAGATACCAACTCTACTCAAATATCCTGAATCAAGAAACTGAAGCGATCTTCAGCGAATAGAAATTGTTCAATTTTAAAGGCAGATATTTTACATGTGTGTAAACTTAAAGTTTTCTATTTCCATACCCTAATGTATACAACTTGTACTTTTAAGAATCGAGATGAATATAAGATTTTAGAAAAGAGCTTAAAAAAGCGCCTCCACTTTTCAGTTTTGACATAAAGGTTTATTCCTTTCGTTCTAGACATTTTATTCTAGTTTGTAATTTATGAAATATTTGGATTCATTTCATGCGTTTTACATACACTCATACACTGGTTTTTCATATACTAGCAAATCAATAACCTGCTACAAAATGTAATTTACAGCGAAGGAACTGCCATTTATATTCCTTTCCTGGAAAACCAATAGTTTACATGAAGGTGCTCTATCAACAAATTTGCCTTCAACGCTTAGCTTGATATGAATCAAAGCGTCTAGAAAATATTTGAAGTTTTTGCAGAATATTTATTGTGTTTTGAGAAAGACCATAATTATGTGGCTCACAATGCTTAGTTCAAGAATACTTTATGTGTATTGTGAAGCATGCTGTTATGAAATGGAATGAAGAGAGATGTATATCTGATGTTTTCTAATCTGTATATTGCTATACAGTGGTGTGCAAAAATTAAGGACGAGACGGTTTTTTTCAATATAACTTTGTACAAAAGCTTTCCAAATCAACACATTTAATACCGTAAGATGCTCAATACATAATGACATGAGTAATGTAAGCAACACTTACTAAAAGAGAAATCAGAGGGATAAAAAGAAGCTTTATTGAAAACGTAGCATGGAGCGCAATGCGACTGAAGGCCGAAACATCCCTGTGATGGGTGTCCAGCAAGAAACATCCGGTCTTTAATAGGGAATATGATCTCCCCTGACTACTAGGCAGGTTTCACAGCGTCTGCCCATGCTGAGAATGAGGGTGTCAATGAGTTGTTGAGGCATTGCTGCTCATTCGTCTTGCAGCGCCAATCGAAGCTCCGGAATCGTTACTGGTGGTAAGGTACGAGCTGCCAAGCGTCTGCCTAGAAAGTCCCATACATGCTCGATGGGATTGAGATCCGGAGATCGTGCCGGCCAATCCATACGTTCAATATCCTCACTCTCTAAGAGCTGTTCGGCAGCTACTGTGCGATGACATGGTGCATTGTCGTCCATGAAAAGGAACTGCGGACCCATAGCGCCTCTAAAAAGACGCACATATGGAAGAAGAATCTCGTTACAATAACGGGTCCCGTTGACTGAACCTGCGTCGAAGATGTGAAGGTCTGTACAATTACCAAGCATGATGCCTCCCCAAACGAGAACACTGCCACCTCCATACCTGTCTCTTTCAATGATGTTCGAGGGATGGTTGCGGCTTCCCCGCTCTCTCCAGATGAGTATGCGATGAGAATCGCTACTCAGACTGAATCTGCTCTCATCTGTAAAGAGTACTCGTCCCCATCCATTGTCTCTCCAATTCCGGTGTTCCCGGCACCACAGAGAACGCCTTCTCCAATGGGCAGGCGTTAGAGATACACACAGTACAGGGCGTCATGCAAACAGACCACCACCGTGCAGTCTTCTGGCCACGGTAAAACGCGATATGGGTCGTCCAGTCGCCTGTGTCGTGTGTCTAGCGATTTCTTCCGCTGTCTGCCGCCTGTTTCTTCTGGCCTGTAAGGAAATATAGCGGTCATCTGCGGGTGTGGTTCCTCGTGGACGACCACTACTAAACCCCCGGATAGCTGTTCCTGTAGTTGGAAATTCTCTCCAAAGTCGTGAAACGATGCTGTGAGCAATTCCAAACTCTGCAGACACACTTGTCACACTGCGGCCTTCCTCCAACTTCCCAATGATTCAACCTCTGGTAAAAGCATCCAGATGTCATCTGACAGATTGATTATTCGCCATTTCTCGCTGAGGCAGCAACTCGGTGTGATTTTAACTGCTATACGGCGTGCAATCTCTTTGCCAGAAATACTCATCTTACACCGACAATATGCTTTATACTACTCAGACACTCCCCCATTACGTCTACCTGCATATCTGCGCATGTGCTACCGTACATCACCTTACTTAATCTCCTGATTGGTCTTTCTGTCCACTCTGCCTCTTCGTTCAGCTGATATGCTAATTTTTCGACTTCGTCCTTAATTTTTGCGCACCAGTGTAAATATAATATTTCACTTCTCTTAATGTGAGTTTCAATCTTCGATATTGCTTTCAAATATAAAATTTATTTTGTCTTTTGATCCCTGTATATTGTTATTAAAGTTTTATAACAAAATATATTATTGTCATTAATAATTATTAATAACAATAATATAATAATTTTTATTAATAAATTATTAATATTATGTTAATATATTAATATTATTGTAATTATTATATTAATAATTTAATAATAACAATAATGTAAATAACAATAATTAATAACAAATTAATATAATAAATTATTAACAAGTGTTATTTCATAAAAGGCGTGTTGATTGCGTGTCAAACCATAATAAAGAATGAAATGATCACTCAGTTATTGTGAGCATACACTAAGGTTGTTTGCCACAGTTAAAAATAATCCAATCTAGTTGCTATAATAGGATAAAAAACGTTTAACACCAATATATACACCAATAGCATATTTTATTATATCATTCTCTTTCTTTGCGCTGATATCTTCTTTATTACTGTATAAGCATTTAGATATTCAAAGGATACAGAAACATAAGCAACTTAGACACTGTAACTAATGCAGAATATCTGTAATGTAGCTAACGGCTCTCGAATAAAGAGACAATCTAACTTCATTATGAACTGTGTCACATCAGATGTTTCGTCATTGCATTTACGTAACGTGCGCCTCATTTATCTCTAAAGGTAGGGGTTAATGATATAGCATTCCATTGTGACTTCCGTATCTGTAATATGCACTAGAAATGTGCCACTGTATGAATAATATTTTGTGTACTGTTATTTAAATACCACTCACTTATAATCATGCAAAATATGTTTGTGAAGCGTAAACTACGATTATGGCAAAGATATTTCAAAAGTATTTATGGTAATTAAGAATAGTCCAGTAAACATAATGCATACAAAAAGCTGTTTTAATTTTTTCTTTACATGTACTGTTTTCATGAACTGTTATTTCATTTGGCTTTGCCCCCAGTATCATTTTTACAGTTTTTTTAATGCAATGCAAAGTCTCATCGGATGAAAATTTTTCTTTGTATTTCACTAAAATTATGAACGATATGCTTTATGTCAGCAATGTTTTTGTAAGAAGCGTTTTTTGAATGCATATACACGCATTTAATACTGATATGACAAGAATTGCGTATCTTATATGAGAAAAAGGTGAAGAGAAAAATGTGTGTGTGGCGTGGATGGGTTCAGATGACTTTAAGATGTCAAAGGGAAAGGCATTTCCCTTCTGTCCTCCTACAAAGTGAAAGAGCGGCCAAATTTTTCCCTTTCTGTCTGAGATGTGCTTATCGCATCAGGTAGAAATACATTCTTTAGTATTAAACTTGGCGCAATTTATTATTACGTTTTAGACATCATTATTAATGTTTAACTATGCTTTTATCCTAAACATTGGGCACAGGGAAATTTTTGATTAATTTCATAAGTTTATTTATTTTGCTAACTTTACTGCTGATTGTTGCGCAAAGTTTAAGTTGTAAAGTAAAACAATAAAATAATTCATTTATTATTTAATTTTGTTTAATATTTGTTTAAGCTTATCACCAAGCCTCAAAATACATTTACAGTTTTGAAGTTGTTCCCTTATTCGGTTTTTTAGAGAATCGGGAGATTATTATTTGCATATGATTCCCTGATATCAGCATGAAAGGGATATCTTATGAATAATTTTCCTGGATTTTGCGAATACGTATTATTTATGTACTGATTGAATACAAAATTTTGTGTAAGCTCTCTATTTGTATAAAAATCTTAGAGCAAAGTATCATAAAATCAAGGGGTGTTTTTTTATTTGAACTTGAGCTTTAGAACGAGATTTCTAAAGTATTTTATCATGGATGTTATTTCAGATCTGTTCATTTTTGTTTTCACCAATAGCGTATATCAATGACGTAAAATACGCAAACTACTTTGCAATATTTAAACACAAGATGGTGTAATATTTTAAACCTATTTGTATATATATTGGTAATATCTTAATATATTTTCTTTTAAAAAGGGGTTTTGCATCGATTACTACTGAAGACATTTACACGAATTGCAAGCCATGTATATACCAAATTTTTATAACAAAAAAAAACTGATTTGCGTTTTTCTTTTGATTAAATATTATTCTTCATTTTTCCAGATGTCAATGAATGCTTAAAAAGTAATGGAGGGTGCGACCAAGCTTGCGAAAATACACCCGGATCTTATAAGTGCAGCTGTTTAGAAGGGTACAAGTTATTGCCTGACAGAAAAAGCTGTGATATTGGTAAGAAAAGTTTTGATTAAATATTGAGTTGATTAATTGACAATTTCATGAATTTCTCTCGTCTCCACATAATTCATTTCTAATAATAAGTAAATTATGTACTATTAAATTCGAATATATATATATTCATATTAAAGAAATGAAATAAGAGTGAAATTAATGCCGCTTAACTGTATTTTTTCAAGTTGCTCGTATGTTGTTGTTAAATCACCCAAACAGACCCAATGTCTCTCAGCAAAGGCCTTGGAAAATGGAATGATTGGGGGTGATGGCAAATACTAGTCTTCTTTTATGTTCTCCAGATGTACTGCCCACTTTTAGAGGTGGTTGCCAAAAGAAGCTTTTTTTGTTGTTGTTGTTTTGTTAATGAAGTATGCGCTGCGTAGCTGTAGCTGTTCCCACTAAGCAGGTTTCAATTACTAACATTACGAATTTAAAAGAAATTTGATTCACGGATTATGAATAAAGCCTCATTACGTTTCGTTCAATTTCAGGTTTCATTAAGTGTTTAATTTTTTAGATGTTTTATATCTTGTTAAATATAATATATCATTGATTAATTTTTATTTTATAATTATCCGTCTCTAAAATATATTTTTTGGAAGTTAAGCTTTCTTCTACGTGTTTAGATCTTGTTAACATTTTTAGAAACTGATTCATTTAAAATTCTTCAGATAATTTAATCTCATGGTCCATTTTTCAAATATGGAATACCGCTCGAAAAGGAAACCAGAAGTTAATTCACAAACCAGTCTTTTTGTAGATTTTGCGAGTTTTCTAAAACTGGCATGGCAAAATCTACAAAAAGAAGAAGTGTATAAAACGCAAAAACGCAAGTGCAGAAAACATAAGTATTTGATCAATGGATGTATTTATAATTAACAAAAAATCTTTCCATGATCATATGGGACAAAGTATACGTTGGCTATCTTTGCAAAATCCGTGAATATTTACAGGATACATGAGATTAGAAATATATCCTGCAGTGGAATATAGCATTAAAAAACAGGATTCTTTGCACAATGTAGAACTTTTGATCACTTTACTCTATATGACCACTTTACTCTATAAAATCGATTACAAACTTTATAAACGTATTATGTTCCTATAGTTTTAATTTATAATAATAATGAAACATTGCGGGAGTTTTAGTTTTTCTGTAGGCTGTTTCTGCCGGGCAGTGTCCATTGCGGAAATCTTCATCAAAATTATTTTCTAACTCCAGTATTTCAGTTTTTGTTAGACCAAGTAAAACAAATCATTCTTAGCTTTGGATTTCCAGAAACAAAATTATCTATATTACTTCAGTATTTTATTTTATGATATTATTTGCTGCAGATAAAAATAAATTTAATTATTGCCGTTTTCTGAAGATATATTAGAATAGTAGAAATAATTTCATTTCTACAGCGAAATGAGTGTATGAGTATTTAAATAGAGATATTTCACAAAATAATACGAACAAACTAACGTCAAAGCACAAAAATAAAGATACATTTTAATGCAGAAAAGAAAAATTTCGGGTACAGAGCAACAGGAAAACTTAGTAGAATCTATTCATCAAGCACAGCTGTTGCATGGTTTTAAATTATAAATTACATAAACCAATGTATCAAAGCTATACATTCAATGCGAGTTTTAGTTTACTAAACAATTTCGTGCTGAAAAAACTGTTAAGGTTAGACTGTTGTTAAACTTTTCATTTATCTTACTTAAAAATGGGATATATTTTGTATGAAATGCGTTGTTGAGTTACTATATTGTTACGAGTTAATTGAATTTCAGGGTAACATGTAATAATAATAAAGACTAATGGCCGTAAATGAATGACATTTCGAGAATTTTTTGTGTTCATCTCTCTATTAAGCACCAAAAAGCTTTCTGAACTTACAGTGGATGGACAAAAATATGGAAACACCTTGTGAAATGCATGTTTGAAAAGAAAGATTGATTTTAATGAAATATGTAGGTGGGGCTGGCGTTTTTGACTACTGACGCCACCTATGCAACTTCGTAAATGTGCTAAACAGTTCAGTTGTTGTCGGAGTACTGTTATGCGAGGTTGTCATTGCATTATGTCAGAGTTAACAGACTTCGAACGTGGGCAAATTGTTGGAGCACGTATGGTAGGTGCTTCCGTAAGCAAGGTAGCCGAGGTGTTTAGTGTTTCAAGAGGTACTGTATCGAAGATTTATTCCGCATATTTGAAAAGCGGAAAAACATCATCTGCTAAATCACAGCGCGGACGAAAGTGTGTCCTGAGTGATCGTGACAGACGATCATTAAGGGCAATTGTGACGAAAAAAAAAAAGAAGAAGACCACAGCTGCAAAAGTTACTGCTGAAATGAATGTTGTGTTACCGAACCCTGTGAGTACCAAAACAATTAGAAGGGAGCTTCATAAACAGGGAACTGCTGGCCGTGCTGAAATTGAGAAGCCACTCATCAGTGATGCTAATGCCCGTAACAGGAAAAGGTGGTGTTTAAGTCATAAAGCCTGGACTATAGAGCAGTGGAAGCGAGTAATATGGTCTGACGAGTCTTCTTTCACATTGTTTCCCACTTCTGGCCGAGTTTACGTCTGGAGAACGCCATCTCAAGCCTAAAATACAGACTGCTTGTTGCCAAGAGTGAAACATGGCGGGGGTTCATCATGGGCAGCCATATCGTGGTTCTCTGCTAGCCCCATGATAACTGTGTCAGGGCACATGACTGCCAAGACTTATGTGAACATTTTGGCCGATCAAGTTCATCCCATGGTACAAACTTTGTTCCCCGATGGTGATGGTGTCTTCCAAGACGACAAAGCCCCTGTTCACACAGCTCACATTGTCCAGGACTGGTTTTCTGAGCACGAGGATGAGTTGTCCCATCTCCCCTGGCCACCACAGTCACCAGACCTGAATATTATCGAACCTTTGTGGTCTACATTGGAACGGAAAGTGCGTTCTCGTTATCCACCGCCAACATCGTTATCTGAACTTGCCACCGTTTTGCAGGAAGAATGGTATAATATTCCCTTGGCAAACATACAGGAACTGTATTTATCCATTCCGAGAAGACTGCAAACTGTTTTGGATGCCAACGGGTTTCCTACACCAAATTAAGCAAAGAAACATGTTTCTTTAAAAGTGTTTCCATATTTTTGTCCAACCTCTGTAACTGTCAGAGTCAAACTCCGGACTGAGACGCATCTTATCCTGAAGAAATTATACCTGGGAAAAGAGATTTCTGAAAGCAGAAAAAATTTAGGAAAGGAGTAATTGATGATTAATACAAGAAAATGCTTTATTTACTCGCGTATTTTCCCCCTCACATATTCCCCTCCCTTAACTTTTAAACATAAGGTTCTAAATTTTTTTAATTAGTCACCTAATTTTCCCCTTCCCCAAGTTAAGCGAGGTTCCTAAATTTTAGAATTAATTCGCCCACGTAGTTGTTGTTGCCGTCTTATTAATTGATTTGCTCTGCAATTTTGGGTGTATGGGCTGCGACTGATGAAGCATTTGTAATCAAGAGCTTTGAAAAAACAGCGATGCTAATGGTCTTGATCATTTTGAAGATCATTTCACGAAGGAAGACAGAATAACAGTGATGAAAACGTTTTACAATAGTGACGATGGCGACGACTTGCAAGCTATCGCAGACGACACAGACAGCAGTTCCAGCAGCATTGAATGATTTAAGGCGACTGGAATAGCTGTGGATAACGACTTTCTCCTCCCGATTTTCGTAAGATAAAACTAGCAAAACAAAAGAGGGGAAAATATGCAAGTAAATTATTTCATTATTAATAAGTTTATAAGGTATTTCTCCCGCCTTCTTAGCGTGCCTTCGGGTTGTAGTGGTCTGCACGATGTGGGCGTATTCCAGAGGTCCGTGGTTCGATTCCCGACGAAGGTGTTGCTCATTTTTTTAAGTCTCCTGCTTCAAAAAATACCTAATGTCTCTACAGTGGCGCCCGAACTAAAAAGGTGGTGGATGATTAACTCCACAGCCAGGATTTGGCAGTTGGGTCCCCTAAACCCCAGTCGCCCTTTAAAAGAGGAGTATATAAGGTATTTCTCCCTGCTTCTTAACGTGCCTTCGTGGTGTAGGGGTCTGCACGCTGGGCGCGTATATGTTGCTCATTTTTCAAGTCTCCTGCTTCCAAAAAATACGTAATGTCTCTACAACTTAATAATGCAATAATTATCGCATTATTAATAACTTAATATTTTTTTCAAAGTAGAATTTCCTCTGCATTAAAAGATTTATATAAGGCAAAAACGTAAAACCTTTCTCTAAAGATAAACTATAAATTTCCTGTTTCTCGAAATGCACTGAGCTTTCAATTATGATTACTATTAAATAGATGCTGTATTGTTGCCAATTATTTATTTTCAGCCTGAATAATACTCTTCATCTCTTACAATATCAATTATTTACCTAAAACTTCTTACATTGATTAAACTATCTTTATGCACTAGATGAAATTAATTTAACTTTAATAATATTAAATTCACATATCTAAAAACGTAAAATTAAGGAGAACATTTTTTAATACACTTAAACTCTAATCTTCCTATTTCAAGATAATTTCGGAAACATTTTACATCACTTTCGAAAATAAATCGTTTCTCCCGTATTTAAACTGAAAACATTCTACCCAGAAATAGCCCATACTGATACTTCTACTCTATTAATATTAATAAAGCGCACTGTTATATTTTAGGAAGAAAAACCAGGGCGAAGTTTACAGTATATCAAAGCGCAATGTGACGTTTTTATTGCAAACTTAACTGCCGATAGTCAAAGAAGCAAGAAAGAAACTAGCGAGAGAAAAGTAGTTTGATATTCATAGCGATGGTGACACTTGGAGGAATGCATAACGGCCATCGATTTTTTTCGTCGAGATCTATGTATATATCCTTCTCAGACAGAGAGGTCTGTAAAAAAGCACATTTCCAGGCTGGGAAAGATCAGTTTCGGTCCTAAGATAGAATTCTTTTATAAGCATT